CCACCACCACCACCACCACTGCCACCACCGCCACCACCACATTACCATTACCAGAATATTAACACTTCCAAGACACTTGACATCAAATCATGTTGTTCTTCAAGTATTTTACCTGATGTCTGAATTCCAGACATCTATGGAATGCATTTTTAAGAAGAATAAGTTTAGGTATATTATACAGTGTTTACAGAACGTAACAAGGCTTCTTGTATTCTGCTTTCTGAATCCCTCGGTTGATACACGAATGCAGAAAGAGGATAAGGATAATAACGCTTCTCCTCAAGGTCAAAGCCACATTTACTAGCTGGGAAGAATCTGAGCATGTTCAAGCAGGACCCAGGTTTGAGATCATCTTTCCCCTAAGGTATAAAAATGATGGAAACATTTGGAAGGCACTTTGTGTCCATCTGTGCATTCGTTTGTGCTTTGGAATAAGTATGCTCCCTCTGATAGCTCTGTGCTGAAGTTCTTCCTAACAGTTAAGGGTTTCATTTACTTTCCAGGAAGGTCTAGTAGCAGGCACAATCCACCTTCATGGTTCTGAATCCAGACGCAGCACGTACGGAAGCCCGAAAATACGACCAAGGCATGTGACTGTGCGCCGCGCCAAGGGCGTGAAAGTGATATGAATGAGTTCTCTGGTCACATGCAACTGGCGACTCTCCTTTAGCTATGTCCTATGCCAGTGACTCGCAAAGGTTAAAGATCAGTGAGGGTAGCCCTGTGCTCTTCAATGAATAATCTGACTTTTCTAACTTTTTTCTTTTCTTTTTTTTTTTTTTTTGCGGAACTGGGGATTGAACTCAGGCCCTTAGCTTGCCAGGCAAGTGCTTATTCTACTGAGGTATCTCCCCGGCCCCTGTAGCTTGTTCTTTAAATTGGTCTTTCCAAGTTTTGACTTAGGGCTGGGAATATAGCTCAGTAGAATAAGCACCTGCCTGGCAAATGCAAGGTCCTGAGTTCAATCTCTAGTACTTTATTTTTTTTTTCCTTTATTTATTTTTTTCTTTTCAAAGTTTTATTGATAAACATATAGCAATGGGACAGTTTCAAATCAAATCGAGAGTACAGTTTCAACAAATAATACACTGCATAT